AGAATTCTATCTTAAAATTAACCATATTTTCTAAAACCTTTGGAGTTTTTATTCTAAAGAATAAAAATTGAGCCGGTCTTGAAAAAGAATGACTCAATTTTCAATCCTTAAGAGTGAGATTTCACTCTTTTAAATAAGATTCACTCAAAAATTTTAAAAAGTGTCGTTTAGAGTAAATTTAACATAAAATTTACAAAAAATTTAATAAAACTCGATTAAATAAGTTAAATTTAATAAGAAATAATTCCTTTCCCTTAATCTCGGTGTGAAAAAATTTTCCAAACATCTTGAATATTATTTATAAAAATAATAATGCATTATTAAAATGTTTGTTTTTCAAGAGACCTGAAAAACAAATATTTATCTATTTATTTTTTCGGAATGCAGTGTCGAGCATCGCATCGTTTATTCTCAACAAATAAATTGAGATCGTAAACCGGAATAGACGGATTCAAGAAGCAATGAGAGAATAATCGGCTGATAGCTTCGGCGAAATGAGGGAACTAAACGCGGATGCCTAAGTTTGAATCAATACGATAAGTGGGCCAGGTGGGGGGAACGTAAGATTGGCCGAAGAAACGGGGGAACGACCGGGAAAGGAACGCCGGGCGGCCGCGGGCGCGTTTGAAGGAACGCGCGAAACGGAGCAACCGGGAGGCGCGGCCAACTTCAGCGCGGCCAACTTCAGCGCGTTGAGAAAATCTCTTCAGTACGAGCGAAGATCAGAGCTGCGCCGTTAAAACGTTGAGAATCAAAAACGATGCAAACATATTGACATCTACGGACGGTACGTGATGCGCTTTTATACATTCCTATATATGATTCACGTTATTTCGAGTTGAATTGAACTTTATGGTTTGTCTAGAGATAGCCAATTATTTTTTACTTAATTTATTTTATTTACTATATTACTGGAAAATATACATATAACATAACGCGTGGCAATAAGCGAAAGCAACAAGCTCCGATACGTTTGAACGGGGAATATTGTAAATTACGCGCTTGCGCGCGGCCTGGGAGAGACCTCCTCCGAGATTTTCTTCGGGACAACTTTTGAGCGATTAAACTCCGATTAATCTTAATTAATTTGATCGGCAGAATAGCTCGAAGCGACATTTTCAACCATTAATTGTTGTCCCTCTGATTTTTTATACCCAACATGCAATTAACGAAAAGTTATAATTCTACTATCACAAAATATTAGAATCAAATATTATTACTTGAATAAATTAAATTGCTGATTAGTAATAATAATAATTTTATTGAATATAAAATTATTAGAAAGAAAATAAAAATAATATGTAAAAAAAGAAAAGAAACAAAATACAGTACAATTAATTGAGAGGTAGATTGTCCTTTATTGAATATAAAATTATTATTATTAAGTAAGCAAATAAACAAATATGCTGAATAAATTAATAGAAGTTTGACCGCCTTTAAAATAGCAGGATGATCCTCCTTTCGGTTAATTGCGCTATGTTTTGTTTCTTTTATATTTTCTTTGTATTTATTGCTACTTTTATTTCTTTTTTACCTTAAAAGATTTGTCCTAGAACGTTAATAAACGCTTTATGTATCTATATCTGTAGAGTATAAAAATATTTTTTAATTAACGCAAGCGCGCGGTCGTGTTAATTAAAATTCAGCATAGAATCAATGACACACGAAACGTTATTAATAAACACCATGATATCCTACCGTTTCTCGCTTCGTCACGTCCGGCGCCAACAATGACAATCTATTTCTTTTTAATTGTATTTTATATTCTATAGAGTATAGTCGATCAGATACGCGCTTTATTTCCTCGATCAATCTCAAAGACGGATAGCACATCAATAAATGATGTCACCGCAGTTACCTATCAATAATTCAGCACCTATCAGTATCAACTGTATCAAGCTGTCACTTAACGCGGTCTCGTTCTGAATTCACGATCGAGAGAATACGAGAGCATACGGATTTGTTGCAGGAGCTCGAAATAAACAGACGACAAAATATTGACGTTTTATTTCGAACGCAGAATTTGTTTTGGCACTTTATTGGATTATATTATAATTAATAGTAGAGATCTTATAACGGCCACGAACGATTTGTTAAAATTCTATGAGAAAGATATGCTCGTATTCATAATCAGAGCTTATATTTAAAGCAAGTTTATTTTTAGATGCTCTGTAGTCAATAAAATAATTCTTAGAGCATCTGAAGATAAATTTAAGGAAGTCTTAAATACAATACATATAAAGCCTGACTATGAATACGGGCAATAACTTTTTCCTGTATATCTCATTTTAACTTATACTGTTTCACTCTTTAAAACAATTAACTTTAAAACAATTTTATAGAAATTGGCTCAAATGAGATAAATCTATAATTTTAATTAAGATAGAGTGAGATGATATAAGTAGAGTGAGATAGTATATGTATGTGTGTATATATATATGAAGAAATTATATACACCTTTCTCTCTCATAGAATTTTAACAAACTTGCTCGTGGTCAGAATCTGATATAGGAACTCTAATCAAAAACAATTAGGTATCAATATTTGAAACAATTGGTATTCGGAACATCAAGTAGAACCTGTCTCCAGTAGACGATATAATTTTAGTTCATCATCAATCTTACCAATTTATAAAATACAAGGTCAATCTTATCAATTTATAAAATATTTTAATATTCCATTCTCATTTATTATAACAATCAAATTAAGTAATTAATCATCTCCAATCCTAGGTCGGATAATGATGAATTAAATCGTTTCATTTTACGATTTTTTTCTCATACTCGAAAAGAAATACCTAAAAAAAAATTTGTTTTTAAGTATAAATACTCGTATATTTAAAAGGAATAATAACGGAGGAAAGGAGGGAGAGAGAGAGAGAGAGAGAGAGAGAGAGAGAGAGAGAGAGAGACTGAAAATGAAAAGAACGTTTCTAAGGACAACTTTTGCAGGCATCTAACCTGTTCTACCGGTCGGTTTACCTATCTATCTACCTGCCTCCCTGCCGACTTACCTGAGGCGCTCTCTGCGCGCGTGTCTTCGGCGAGAAAAAAAGGATACCGACGGGGGCGTGGAGTCGTCGACGCCGTGCCCGTGGAAGACCTCTCTCGCCTCTGCTCTTATCGCCTCGTCATTAAATCGCGGGGGACAGGCCAGAAGCTCGGGTGAGACGGCGATCGTCGATGTCCAAGAGCAGCTATCCAAGAGCCGGACGATCGTTCACGGGAGCGGTTTTAACAAAACGCGTGAACGTCCGTCTCGTTTCGCGACGGTCGATATACGCTCGACGTGCACACGAGGAAAAACCGTGAGGATCGTCGAGCGTGCGAGCTATGGATCACGGTAATACATACGGAATGTGGGACGCGGATTCTGCCCGGAGGCCGGGACGATGTCACGGTAAACAAGCCCACCACACAAATCCCGATCCGACGCACGTCGCAGCCATCACTGGCCGTCGCTGATCTTCTCCGCCGGTGGCGCCTGATCGCCGACCTGAACGGCTGAATGGGAGAGAACGGGGAAATCGGACCGCGGCGACGCGCGCGACGGATTCGAAATTAATCCGAGAGATCATCCATGGGCGTCGCGTTGACTTTGGCTGCATTCCATTATTCAATGGGAGTACTAAAAATCTATAGTTCACGACTTCATTCTTGTTGTTCACGGAATGTTAAACAAGGATAAAAAGAATACTCGGAGTCACACGTGTTTCCGAACGCGTCCTTGTATATATGTATGTATTCGTTGCAAAGTATTGAAAATCTGTAGTTTACATAACGCATATTACAGACTTTCAGCAAAGAGTTTTCAGTATTGGCAGTGTATTTCAGAACACGGCCTTGGCATTTAATAAGTAACAAAGATAGAATGACTACACTTCGACTTGTGTTACCAAATGAAAATCATCAAATCACCCACTATTGCCCATTTCTATCAATGTAGATTAACTTTAATCTTGGTTTAACTTATTCTTCATCTTTTTCTCTAATTTTTAGACCAGTTCAACTCTTGCCCGAGATTCAACCCATTATCTCTTTTTCCAATTCTAGAAATGAAAGAAATAAGAAACAAATTGAATTTTAATTAAAATTTAATGAGTTGTGAAACTGGGCCTTAAAACTAGTAAAAAGTGAAGAGTTTGTTGAACCAAGATTAAAATTAAATCACCATTATATAGAAACGCGCCCGTGTCATCTGTGATACATTTACACAACATCCTTAGGGATTCTTTCACCACCGCTAATCGATGGTTAATTCAATCACTACAATTGTCAACGTGAGAACTAAACACAGAAGAGGAAGAAAGAGATGTTATGGTACATCAAACTGCTGTTGGCACTTCTGCGAATTAATCGTCGATTAATTTAACCAGAAGTTGATGAAAGAGGCCCTCTTAGGCGGGTTTAATAATATCCGTAGTTAGAAATTAATCACAGTCATTTCATTCTTCAAAGTAATAACTATGACTGGCCAGTTTCATAACTACGGATGTTATTAAACCTGATTAAAGATATTCGTAGTCTCCTGCTAGAAAGCATTCAAAATGTTAAGGATTTCGCAATTTAATCCGTTTCTATATTTATATTGAGCACATCTTGACATCTTTATATGTCAATTTATGCACGACATCTTTAATATGCAGTGCATATCATACCAGGCATTGAGTAGGTTCGAATTCACTATTAGAAATTAGTTTGAATTGACGACTTGACTGGGATGGGCAGTTTTGACTTCGGCTCAGTGTTTTATATTATTTTTATAAATTTTTTAAATGATGAAACCGACCGAGTGTTTCCCACACTTGTATCTTGCCTTCGCAATTTGTATCCGATTTCGCATTTCTATTTGTTTGCGACTACTTTTTGAAAGATTGAAAGGATCTTTCTGTTACTAAATTTACCTTCGTTGGAGAAAACGTGAGCCAATGAAAGAGAAGGAGAAGCTATTAAAAATTTAACGAGAAAATTAACGATTTATAATAACGTATCGAGAAGCTGTTATATCGAAAAGCAAGCTTTATTAATTAAATAATACATTTTATACGAAATAACTAAATTGTAACTTAGAAATGCAACTTAGAATAGCTTTTGCATGGCAGCGCTTTGTAAGGATTTACAGGCATTATTAATTCGGCATTGAGTATTGAATTATAAAGACACACGTGTCAAAAAATACCTCGAATAATGATTTTTAAAAATAATCTCTCCGCAGTACTCCTTCCGTTATATATGTAAAAGTTAGTTCTTACAACTGATTAAGGACCTTTCTCGTTGCCACGATTGTGCAAGTAATTGCTGCTAGGATAATTACAGAATTCGCAATATCCGGGTGGTCCTTGCGTTCCTGGTGGTCCTCTCGCGCCAGGAACACCTTAACATATATGTAGAATTGAAATAACATCTTGTATCTAAAGTGATTACAAATATTACAATGCCAAAATATGTATAATATTGCAGATATTTTTTATACTCTATAAATTATTTTGAAAAAAGTATCTTGTTACTTATAATTCTTTTAATAGCAAGGGAAAATCGATCGAAAATATTTAATACAAATAATCGAAGAAAGACACGTTCGATCAAAATGAATGTCTAATAACATTTTTATTCGAATTGGAAATTGTTCGAATTGGAAAGATTCATTCAAACATGTCAAATTTAGAAGATCAAGACCCACTTTGATCGAATATAGTCTTCTTTACTTATTTGTGTTGCTAATCTTCTTTACCTGGTCTGCCTGGTTCACCTCTGTCTCCCTGCCTTCCGGGCAAACCGACGCCGTCATTACCAGGAGGCCCTATCATAAAACGCAGTATACAATTACCGTATTATTGTCCCAAAGTCTATATAATTTTATTACTAACTATACTAATATTTCATTGTTAATTATAAGCAAATAATTTTTTATTCATGTAATGTAATTTAACCTGGTAAACCTGTTAGACCAGGCGGTCCTTCTAAGCCGATTCCCTCGGGACCTCTGTCCCCCTTTTCTCCACGTTCGCCAGGTAGCCCCTGTGGACCGATGGGACCCTGCGGACCAGGTAAACCAACGAATCCACGATCTCCCGGCAAACCTGGCGGGCCTGGATCGCCTAAAATAAATAACGAAAATAAAATTAATTAACCAAAAAATATCGCAATCATGCAAACAGCGAAAAATATATTCATAAAATGCACCATGCATTAATTTTCATTTCCATTTGTTTTTTAACAGTTTGATAAGATTTCCATTATTACTTGAAGAAGAACAAATATAATAATAAAAAACTGAAAATATATAATCAAATATAGAGAATGAACTTTTTTTTAATAATGATGATACATAAAGCATGTGCTTGAATTAGAAAAAGATATATCCGCTTTAATATATTAAAAAAGCATTACGTCCGATGATGAGAAGCTAAGTAACGCAGTTACTCAACTAATCTAATTTTCGCATGCGCACGACAAAAGCGTCCATTAGTCCAAACAGGCCATTTTCCAGACATTTCAGAAAGTTGCTACGTTCCGAGCGATAGGTACCTGGAATGCCCCGCTTTCCGGCTCGACCGGGACGGCCGTGTCGAGCCGGTCCCGGTAATCCGGGTAGCCCTCGTAGACCCTCTGTTAATTCTTTCAGTCTCTCTGTGACACATGCCAATATATCATTATTGTTATGGGCGTAACCGCGATGAATTCAGAACATTGATATCCTGAACCGATATCGTTAAATGCCACGTGATGAATCATTCGTCATTTTTTATGCTTTAATTCTAGGGACGCGAGAGGCGATGTCGATGATACTTGAAGCGTTTAAATGACGATGTTATTATACTTTGTCGTTGCTTGCCAAATATCTTCTCTTGAGTTAGGGATTCCATTCTATATGTCCAAGATTCTTCTATAAACTAATAAGAAAAAAACGCAATAGCAGATGATTTCGAATGCGATTAATTTGTTGTACCGAGCACAAGATAAAAAGCGCAATGGATTGATGATTTTGACTCGGAGGATGTACCTGGGCGACCTTGAGGTCCAGGGGATCCAGGACGGCCCGGACGGCCTCGACCAGGCGGGCCAGGTAGACCTTGCATTAACGCTGCCATTTCGGTCATCTTTTCTGTATATATATATATA